ATACTTTATGGATAGATATACGTAGATTCACATTACGATAAATATCGCATATTTTATTTCATCCAATTTCATGCTAATAGTCCTGTTTAATATACCCATAGTGGTGAAGGGTATCATGTAGTCGGCCCCGTCCGACTTTACTGCTTTCCTTACTGGTTTAAAAATATTTTTTTAGGAACTAGGCGTAGTCGTAGATTTTTTAAAAATATTTTTAAGAACGACAAAAAGGTGTAGATTTTATAAAAATACTTTTTTTATGACTATCACAAGACGTAGATTTTTTTAAAAATATTTTTTGAAGAACTACCACAAAGCGTAGATTTTTTTAAAAATATTTTTTGAAGAACTACCACATGGCGTAGATTTTTTTAAAATATTTTTTGAAGAACTACCACATAGCGTAAAAATATTTTTCAAAACTATCACAAGGCGTTGATTTTTTAAAAATAGTTTTTTTAAGGGTCCTACACAAGGCGTGGATTTTTTAAGGTTCCTACAAAAGGCGTTGATTTTTTAAAAATATTTTTTGAAGAACAACCACCAGGCATAGATTTTTTAAAAATATTTTTTCAAGACTACCACATTATACTTTAAGTTTTTTTATATCCAATAATTAAATAATTTAATTAAAATAAAATATATATATATATATATAAATTTCCCAAGAGCTCTCAGTATACCCCAGCAACTTGAATGTTCATGTTACTGTAATTGAATAACACTTCTGTTACAATAATAAAAAAATGGTGTTCATGTCACTGACCATTGCAGAGTTAACGTTTTCTGTTATTTAATATTGTTTGTGTTTTTTTCACATTTAATGATACATTTTAATTAAAAACAATTTTGCAGAATACATTCACATATATCACTGTATGTATTTTATTTCAAGTGTTATAATATAAAAATGCTCCCAAAGTGGCTAGGCTGAAATAATAATAAACAAAAATTAACAATTATTACATTGGCCAAGCACACACACACACATTCACACAACTCAAATATATCCTATTATGGCAAAATGTTGCAAAAAATAATAGTAATATGAAAAATTAAAAAAAAAAACAAATAAATACTAAAATAAAAAGTAGCAACTGCTACCTGCATTCACTCCGAACAGAATGTTGTGGAATTTCTCGTTTACCAATAAAATTTATGAATTTATAAAAAGGTTTACCCAACATGGTCATTCAGATAATTAATTAATACAATAATGGCAATAACTAAAGTGGTATTACAGTAGAACCTAATAATGAACAACTAGGTAAAATTTTATCAAAATATTATGGGCCTTCAAAAACACTATTCGGAAGGCAGTCACAATTTTGGAATTTATTCCCTAAGTCCGCTTAATTATTTACTTGAGAAGTGCAAGCATTTTTATTTTGTAAATCCGTATTCGAAAGCGGCCAGTCTTAGAATAACAGCCTTTACTGTTTATTAATTTAATTTACATTTTATTCTCGATTATTGTTAATAATGCAATTATTAGCCATATAAAGCTTCAATTTATTCCGCCTTAAAAAGTTGTTGTAAAATGAATAGTTAATGAAATATTTATTAAACAACATACCTACATAACTCTCGGTTAATAGCAAGTGTTAAGAGATATGAGAGGAAATTGAAAGAAAAATAAAATCAAAAATTTACTGAAGCTGGGAAAAAATTGTAAAAAAAGTCTTCTTAATTTAAAAATATAAATATTTTACAAAAATTAGCATTGTTGCAATTTTCATCAACATGGAGCGAAATGGAATTGCAACAAATTTTTAAAACATATTTGAATTTAACTGAAAATTTATTATTTGCAAAATATGATAATTTGTTTAAGATGGAACGAAATGGAAATGAAACTAAAGTCGCAAAATTAAAAACAAAATTAGTAAGAGGCACATTTTCTTACACAAAAAAATTAATTAACTACAGTAGCCACATTTATTCCAATTGAGGATGATTTCCAGGTCTAAAGGAAATAGAAATTTCGCAATTTTTCTTAATTTGGAACAAAATGGAATTGAACCACTTTTATGAAAATATGCGAAATTTACTAAAAAAAAATCTTTATTTCAAAAATTTTTACCAAGCTGGTCCAAAATGGAAATGAAACACAATTTTAAATAATTACGAAAATTTCAATAAAAACACTCTTTAGTACCCAAATAAATAACATTAACTGAAATAAATATAATTTTACGGTAGATAAAAAACTAATTTTAATGTTATTTCTCGATTTGGAACAAAATCGAAAGGAACATAATATTCAAAATAAATATAAAATATTGAAAATATAGGAACTTTGCCATAAATTAGCTTATTTTTCAGGGTTTCTCAACATGGAACGTTCCGTTCCTGTCTTTTAATTGCGTTGGAAAATGGAATTGATACACTTTTTCCCCTAATGAAACAACACATTTAATTTTACAGTGAAAATACTTTTTTTAAAAGTGTTGTTATATCATAACTTGAAACAAAATTAAAATGAAACAAAATAAAAACAAAAAATAATTTAGTTTTTTTTTCAAATAAATTTAATAACTCCTCAAAATTCCATTTCATTTCGTTCCTGTGATTCAATTACTTTGGAACGAAATGGAATTGAAACACATTTTTCCACAATTATGTCATTTTAATTTTAAAAAACATATAATTTTCCTGTAAAATAATGTTTTCATTTCATAAAACAACTGTCTTCAATCAAATCATACAACCATTAAATTACCAACCCACTTATCATTTTTTGCGCCTTTGTCTTCCTTCCTGGCCCAGAGAAACAGCACAACAATTATTTATAACATTTCATGTTTTTGTAAAATTTAATTTTTTTGTGTTCCACACCATTTTTCTGCAAAAGTAGGCTGGTAACAAATGCGTGTTGTTTTCTTTATTCAGCCAGTTGCAGACAGACGTATATAGAATTATTACCTTATTTAAATGAAATATATCATTGCCATATTTTCTGGTTTGGTAATATTTTTCATTTTCATGTCCCATATGTTATTTTTATATGAAATTTATGTGAAATATGTAATATTTGTCTCCTCGGCTGGAAAGCCGTTTTAATGAGATGTTATTATTCAAAAAAATATACGAAGGAAAATCGTAGAGTAGGCATATTATTGTGCCTTGTTACCAGGTTCTTAGAAATTGTACATGAACAAAATTTTAAAATAAATTTAAATCCACGCCACTGGAAAATTCCGCAGCTAACGGTATTAAAGGTATCATTCCTCTTTTACTAACATTCTTCTAAAAATTTTAAGCGTTTGTTGGCTGTAGCATTTAATACTTTTTGTATTAAAAAATTCACAAGAATATGCTCCCATTTAAAAAGCAGTAATTTAAAACCATAAAAGCCCATCTGAATACCGCATAATGAGCCTGATGGTGTTTACTTTTCCTCTGAAGGCATTTTGCCTACGAGAAAATTCGTTAAGGAGAATGGAGTAATGGGCCAAACATTTAAGTCTAAAGAATTTCTTGGTAAGACATAGTGTGTATTAAATTACATATGGACGTTTCTATATCATGTTGTTCCATCTTAAAGGAATAGAAGCTAATCCGTTATCAAATTTGGATGAAGTAATGAGAATTTAGTAAAAAAATGTTTATACATGTATTGCTATTTAAAAAAAAAAATAATAAAATGTGTTTCAATTTCATTTTGATCCAAATGTAAAAATAATTTTTTTTATGTTTGTTTCAATCATTTTGTTCATTTTAGTGGTGGAAATTCAATTTCGTTCCGAGTGTAAGCATTTGTTTACTATGAACAACTTATTTTTTTATATAATTAACAATATGTTTCATTATCACGTTTCAATACCATTTTGTTCCAACATAGGAAGATCAAAACTAACCCGATACCAAATGTATAGGGAATAATGAGATTTTGGTATACATTATGGATACATTTATTCTTATTTATTTATTTATTTATTTTTATTATTATTATTTTTTTGAAAAATTCAATAAAATGTGTTTTAATTCAATTTTGTTCCAAAAGTGAAAATAGCCATTTCACAGTTATTTCAATAATTTTGGTCAGTTTAGGGGTTGAACTTAATAATAAATATTTTCTTAGAAAAAAAAAACACAAACCGTTTCATTATTACTTCGTTTCCAAATCATATTTTTTTTTTTGAATTTTAATGGGGTTTTTGTAAAATAATTAATAAAAGTATTGCATTTTTTAAATAAAAAATGTGTTCAATTCCATTTCGCTCCATATATAAACTAATTTTTAGAAGAACTTTCTACACTTTTTGGCAATTTTAATTTTAAGAAATTATTTATATAAAAATGTCGTTCCGAAAATAAAAAATCTTTACTTAATTTAGATTTTTAAAATTAGAAGTAATTAAATAATTGTGTTAAAATGGAGTATTTTTATATTTTTGATTTGTGATATTTTTTACTTTAAAATATCATAATGGTATTAACCGGAAAGTAAAACTCCATATTAAAAATGTGTTTCATTTCCATTTCGTTTCATAAATGTTTTCTTGTTTAATTTGGCATTGTTAAATGTTATTATAATATCAACTGGCCAATAAATTTCCACATTAAAAATGTGTTTCATTTCCATTTCGTTGCAAAAGTCATTAAAAAGTATTAAAAAAATACTTTATTTGTTATAATTTTTCTTTAAAATGGCATAATAACACTAACCGATCAATAAAACTCCACATTAAAACTGTGTTTTATTTCCATTTTGTTCCAAAAATCATATAAACTATTAACAAATTTATGTTCTCCAAATTTTGTCATTTTAATTTAATATTTATTACAAAATAATATAATTACCTTAACCGGCCTCTGAAACTCCATAACTAATAGGCTACTTAAATATTTTATAAATTCAAATTACCCCCATTTACCTCTAGTGCCCTCTCCATTTCATTAAGCTATAAAATTGCCCTCAATTTCAGTTATTTATAATCAAATTTATTCAGTTGGCGCCCCCTACAATAACTCCCTCATTTTCGTTTGTTTCTATTTACAGCAATCTCTGTTGGCAGGACGTATACCGGTAGCCTCAATGACGGGTCCAATTAAACGCGGCCTTTTATGGCAGCAACGTGATCGTTTGTTTTCACGTTGGAAAGAAAGGTAAGAGCGAATGGCATACAAAAACAAAACCAAAACGAATTATTATGGTACACACAGAATGAATGAAATTTTTTATAGAAAATACAATAAAAAATCTAAAGCAAAGGAAAGGAAAGAGGATTTCCTACACACACCCACACAATCAGGCACACGAGTAGCTTTGGTTGATTGTATTAAAATATTCATCACTGCAAATTGCATAGCCATGGCCCAGTGCGTGTTTTTTTTTTTTTTTTTTGTTATGCAATGTTGATATATATTGCCCTGAATTTTCCTTTGGACTTTGTGGGAGGGAGGAGTTTTTCCATTCATTCTCTGGCACACAGACTATGTAGTGAATTTAACTTACGAAAAATAAAAACCGAAAGTTTTTTTTGTATTTTAATTGGTGACAAATAATTGACAGGTCAACTACAGAGCGAGGTACATACAGAGAGTGTGTGTGGGAGTGAATGCATACATGTGTGTACATGATGTGTGGTCCTGACCTGACCTCATACCAAACTTTGACGTGTGTCTGAAAAAAACATTCATTCACTCTCTATATATGTGAAAACATTTCACTCCGCATGAGCTTTATTCAATTGTCTGACATCATTGTTGTTGCTTTGTTTTGTTTTTTCCTGTCGACTTTTAAGTGAATTATTTTAAATAATTAATGAATACATGGCCAAAACTGTTTCAGCTCTTTATGTCGAATACGAATCCTTCTCTGACAATTGCAATCACACACAAAATTGCTGTGAAAAATAAAAACACAAAAAGTTCATTTGCAAAATTGATATAAATGGAAATTGTAATTGATTTGCTGTTGTCTTTTGCTGCTGCTTTTGCATCCGACATCAACAAATAGGGTTAATGGTTTTGGTGTTGCTTTCGTTTTACGAAATTTTTTGTTTGTTATACGACATGTGGGAATTTTTACAATATTTTGCTATTTTTTCGAAAACACAAAATATTGATAAAATCCAGTTTTTTTTTTTTTTTTTTGAAAATCGTTGAAATTTTTAAATGTAAATTGAGTTTCAATGTCTCAATGAAATTGTCTGTGTTAAAATGGGATCAATGATGATTGTTTTTGGGTATCGGAATAACAAAACGCCTGAATGTAGGCAATAAAAATGTAAATGCAATAAATAGGCTGACATAGTTGGTCCAAATTAATAAAAAAATATTTTTAAAGGCTATATATGAATGTAGAATTAAAAAATATGTTCAAAGATCCACATAAGGAGGGACCATACGAACGTACATTTTTGAAACTATGTATTTTAATGTTCCCTCAGTCTTATGACTAATGAGGTTACATACCATTTGATACTGCAAAAATTAGACTCATCGAAATGTTGGGTTTAGACCCCATGTTTCTGTGGACCATATACGTTTCAGACAATTTCAAATTGATTTGCAAATGTCCGTCTGGTTGGCTGTTGTGCACGATAACTGTAGAAGGGAGAAACCGATTTCATCCAAACTTTGCACATCGTAATATTTCTTCGAAACTTGGTTCAAGTTCGAAGATGAGGAATATCGATCCACCCTTTCTGTCCCAAAAAATTGTGAAATTTAAGATAAAAAAATATTTTCCAAACCTAAATCAAGTTCCGAAATGCAGCCCATTGGTCCATTCCTGACGGATGGAAAATTGGGCTATGACCTTAAACTAATCGAAATCCTCAAAATTTTAAAGCCTTTCCAATACGAAATTTTTTGAAGGAAGAATTGAATTTTAATTGCGAATCCAAAATATCAAATTACAGCCATTTCGGTTGAAAAACATGCCCAAAACACTTAATAGTTGGGAATATGTTAGCTATCATGAAGTTTAGCCAATGTGATATTTGGTTAAAAACTAGTCCAAACTCCAAAAAACGCCTTCTTGATGTTTGTGTCCGTGGTTGGGGTCCTTGCTTATTTAGTGTTGTCATTTTCCTCTGGGTGGCGCTCCTCCTATCATTTCTATTTTGTGTTACACGCATGTGTTGATTTCGACGTTTATTATTAAAATATCGGGGACTTCGGATGCATTTCATTTGAAATATTTTAATACCAAACATCCTAGGGCCAGTACTGACAATATATATTTAAAATTTCAAAGCTAAGAGAATTTACATACTTTATGGGGCCTCTGGCCAATATTTTTTTATGTGTTTCTATTGGAAGGACAGATTTAATATATAATTCGCCTTGAGGCGTAGATAATAATAAGTTTATGTTATACCACATTTCAAACCAATGCCATTATTAAGAGCCTATATGTAGATCTGATATAGCCTGTGGTAGGTCAGCCATCTATAGTTGCCTAGAAATATCGCCTTCTTGAATTTTGTGCTGTGGTTGGGGTCCTTGTAATTTATATAATTTATTATCACTATTTGTTGGTGTCGTGATAGATTATTAAATCGAATTGTATTCTATCAAGAATATGCATAATTTATGGGGTTAATAGATGAAGAATAATTATTGTCTATTTGCTGCAATCTGACTGACAAATTGTATATATTTCACCTTGTGCTGATAGTATACATTTTATGTTATGGCACATTTCAATTCAGTACCATTATGAAGCGCCTAAATGTAGATCTGATGCCATTTTTCTCTTGGTGGCACGATCTCCAGTCATTTCTATATGCTGATTTCGAGGTTGATTCAATAAAATAAATATCAGGGTTCTTATTAAAAATAAAAGCCATATTTCAAGGCGCCTGAATGTTGGCAAAGCATTTTTTATACCCTCAACCATAGTATGGAAGGTATATTAATTTTGTCATTCTGTTTGTAACTCATCGAAATACTCATTTCCGACCCTATAAAGTATATATATTCTTGATCAGGGTAAAATTGTAAGACGATCTAGCCATGTCCGTCCGTCCGTCTGTTGTAATCACGCTATCTTCTGAAGGAATTGAGATAAGGTGCTGAAATTTTGCATAGGGTTGTCTTTTGTCTGCAGACAAGTTCGAAGATGGGATATATCAGTCCACATTTAGGCATAGCTCCCATATGAGGGTACCCGCCAAATTTCGGTATTTTGGGATTCTTGAGCGTGTTTTTCAGCCGAATTCGCTGAAATTTGGTACATTTGGTTCTTATTGGATACTAAATGTTTCCACAAAAAATTATAAGTATAGGTCCACTTTTTCTGGTAGCCCCCATATGACGGTACCTCCTAATTTTCAGTATTTTGGGGGTTTTGGTCGTATTTTTCCACCGAATTGGCTGTAATTTAGTATTTTGAGTTCTTAAAAGGTACCAAATCTCTCCACAAAAAAATATGTATATAGGTCAATTTTTTCGGGTAGCTCCCATATAAGGTACCCCCCAATTTTCGGTATTTTGGGGTTCTTGAACGCGTTTTTCAGCCGAATTCGCTGAAATTTGGTACATTTGGTTCTTATTGGATACTAAATGTTTCCACAAAAAATTATAAGTATAGGTCCACTTTTTCTGGTAGCCCCCATATGACGGTACCTCCTAATTTTCAGTATTTTGGGGGTTTTGGTCGTATTTTTCCACCGAATTGGCTGTAATTTAGTATTTTGAGTTCTTAAAAGGTACCAAATCTCTCCACAAAAAAATATGTATATAGGTCAATTTTTTCGGGTAGCTCCCATATAAGGTACCCCCCAATTTTCGGTATTTTGGGGTTCTTGAACGCGTTTTTCAGCAGAATTCGCTGAAATTTGCTACATTGAGTTCTTCTTGGGTCCTAAATGTCTCCATAAAAAATTATAAATATAGGCCCACTTTTCCTGGTAGCCCCCATATAACGGTACCTCCCAATTTTAAGTATTTTGGAGGTTTTAATCGTATTTTTCCGCCGAATTAGCTGTAATTTAGTATTCTGTGTTCTTAATAGGTACCAAATCTCTCCACAAAAAAATTATGAATATAGGTCCATTTTTTCGGATAGCCTCCATATAAGGGTACCCCCAATCTTCGGTATTTTGGGGTTCTTGAGCGCGTTTTTAACTGAAGTTTTTGCAATTTGGTATTTTGTAGTCGTATATGGTAAAAAACTCCCTACGAAAAATTATTAATATTCGCCCCCTTTTTGGGGTAGTCCCCATATAACACTCTTTTATACCCTCCACCATAGTATGGAGGGTATATTATTTTTTATATTAAAATAGTTATCTGATTTGTTCCGCGTTTTGAGTTTGGTTCTAAGACTCTGTTGTAATCATTTCTCCTGCGGAGGATAGCGAGATACAAAATTATAACGTAAAGTTCGATAATGAACCATATCCGCATTTAGACCTAGTCCCTGTGTGGAGTTTCCCCATCTTTGAATTTGAACTAAGTTTGGAAGAAATAACAAGATGGGCAAAGTTTAAATGAAATCGAAATTTTCTGGAACAGATTTGGTCCAAAGAAACATGGGTTCTAGAACCAATATTTCGATGAGGCACATTTTCACCGTGTTAAATTGTATACACCCGTATTAGCCATAAGGCTTAGAGTATAATTATCCACTAAACATTTCTGAAATTTGTATTATGGTTTACATAATCCCTTCTTAAAAATGTCGGTATAGGTATACTTTTTGGTTGGTTCGGCCCGGCCGAACTTAACGCATTTTCACTTGTTTAATATTCTCACAATGTAAAATTTGCATTTCATTAAATATTTAAATATTTCTTGGTTTACTAATTTTTTTTTAATTTGTTATTCCTTATACATGCATCCTCCTCTATATGCCCTCCATATGCCCCAATCAATATTCTATTCTTTTTTATACCCCACACCACACTGTGGTATATGGATTTTTTTTGCTATCATGCCATTCATTAACTGGCCTCTTTTGTGGTCTCGTTTATTGTTACTTTCAATTATGCTTCATTATCATTTTTTTTTTTTGTCATATCCTTCCATATTCTAGCATGTCCATGCTACTGGAACTTGCCATTTCTACATCAACGACAGCATCATCATGTTGCAAATATGGCATAACTGCAAAGGAATTTATCCTTGAAAATGAAATATAAAGCAAACAAAGAAGAGAAGAGAAACTTGGCCATCAGACAGACCAGTGGACTATAATTTTGTTTCATGGGTTCTTAATTCGCTTTAACATAGAAAGGTTTTTAATGGATTTTTTGTTAAAATAATTTAAAATTCAGTTATTCTTTGGAGGAAAGGTTACACTTGGGGTGTTTACCTTTGTGCCACAAAGTTATAATTTAAGAAAACCAAAAATTTTATAAAATTTAAACAGTAGCTTGAATCATGCCAGCAAAATTATAAAGAGAGGGTCATCCTTCCTTGCAACTTGGTTTTAGCAAAAAAAAAAAATAATAATAATTAATCTTGCCATTCGGTTTTTTGGGGTTTTAACATAATTTTTATGTTCTTGTATTGGTTCGACATGTGTGTGATTGCCAAAACCCCTCCTGATCTTCCTGGTAGTTTTTTCTTTAGCCATACTTTTTTGCTTGTTTGTTTTCTGTTATTGTCTGGCCAACTTTGTGTAAATCGCCTCTGGTCATTTCAGTGTCTGTCTGTATGTCTCTCTATTTTTTTTTTTTGTTAATCTGCTGTTTCGTTTTTTTGTTTCCTCGTTTGTTTTTCAAAAGTATAAATTACATGCCAAACTCTTTCGAAAAGTCAATGATTCTAAAATGGCTCAAAAGACTTAGTCAGTCAGCTAAGAGCCAGAAACAACAAAAAACAACAACAATAAGTTATGGAATGCATTGGAAATGAAACATTGCCCTGGGGCGACAACTACAAATATCTTACAACAAAGCAAGCCAAGTCTTGTTTATCAACATTTATGTTGAGACATTCCGGCAGGGCTGGCAGTCCGGCAGACAGACAAACAAATTTCGAACATTTTATTTCACATGTAATGAAATATGACTTTACACAATGTCAGTGAACTTCAAAAAAAATGGGATGGAGTCACAGAAAAAAACTAAATTTCAAATATTTATTGGTCAAACCGAAAGGAATTTAAGGTGTGGGATTCCGACAAAAACGAAAATATTTATGATATAATTCTTATTTTATTGGAATATAAATATATATCAGATAATTTGCGAATGTGTATATACATTTAGCCAACAACAGGCGTGGATTTTTTAAATAATTTTTTCAAAGCCTACAAAAGGCAATGATTTTTTCCAAAATTTTTTCCAAAGCCTACAATAGGCGTGGATTATTTTCAATTATTATAGTACAGGCGAAAAACAGATTTTCCCAAGACCTACAATAGGCGAGGATTCTTTAAATAATTTTTTCCAAGGTCTACAATAGGCGTGGATTTTTTAAAACAAATGTTTTCAAGGCTTACAAACCATCAACATGTGATAGCACAATATAAAAATGTTGGGAGAAAGCGCCACCTAGAGGAAAAATTCAAACACTAAATGAGCCAAACCAGTGCACAATAATTCAAGCAGGTGTTTTTACTAGGGAACGATGGATGGCAGCACAATCATCAACCTTCTACTTAGCAGGAATGAAAAACAATGTATCACTTTAAACCAAAAGTAACATAGGTACTAATCTTGCAGGATAATAACAGGTGGAAAATAATAAAGTAGTGGTAAAGTAGTGTTTTCATAATTATTCAAAAAATTTCCATTATCCAAAATAAGCAAAATTTGTAACAATTTATTTATATTTTTAATTTAACATTACTCAAAAACAAATCCCTCCTTTAGGCCATAATTCCATTTATATGTATGAATCTGAACATATCATAAACCATGTCAAATATTTGTTGCCAAAAAAAAATAAATCGAATAATGTCATAATACGTTTTATTTAAGCCCCCAAAGCTATAATTCTTTATTATTTCAGTATTTCGTGTTTTTTCCTTCTGAATCGTTTTATGAATTGTTAAACAATATTTTGTATCAGTTGCTATTAATGTCATCATTCTTATAAATTCACACATTAATACATACATATATACAACAAATCGTGGGGTGGTAGCCAAAAAAAAAATCTGTTGGGAGGCATTAACGAAACATGTGTATCGTTAATTTTTTTTTGTTCTTCTCAAACAACGAATTTGTTGTCGGTTTCTGTATTTGGCAAACAGGAAGCAATTATAATAAACATTTTTTGGTACAAAAGGCATCATATTGCTGTCATACAAACGGACAACAACAATAAGTACAAACAATTTGTTGATGTTTTTATTTTAATCATGTAGGCAAGCATTTGGATTGTTGTTGAATTTTTTTTTTTTGAGTAATTGAAGATGATGGTGACGAATATATTTTTGTGTGCTATTTTTTGGAATGACCAAGAGCAATAGGCTATGCATGACATAATAAAATACTGACACATATTATAAACTAAAGGCATGGATATGGAAAAAATCTTTCAATCACGAATAAATCCAAAATTTAGTGCCTGCATTTAAATAATTTCTTCCAAGCCCCACAATAGCCATGGATTTTTAAATAATTTTTTCCAAGCCCCACAAAACACATGGATTTTTAAAATAGTTTTTTCATAGCCTACAATAGGCGTGGATGTTTTTAAAATAATAATTTTCAATACATTGCAAAAATAAAAAAAAATCAACGCCTATTAGATGATTTTTTAAATATTTTTGCAAGGGTTATATAAACCATGGATTTTTTAAATAAGCTTTTCCAAGGCTTAAAATAGGCGTAGATTTTTAAAATAACTTTTTCCAAGGCCTACAATTCGCGCTGATTTTTAAATAAATTTTCCAAGACGTACAATAAACGCTGATTTTTTAAATAATTTTTCAGTATTGTATATCCATTCCTTCGGGAGTTATCGTGATTAAATATTATTTGTTGCATACTTTTGGGCGTTTGCAAACATTTTTTATATTTTTACATTTTTCCAACTCAAATATCTACAAATTAAATTACATTTAACAAAAAAAAAAAAAAAACGAAACATTCAATTGAATTTCCCTTAACCCTAGGAAATTTCGAACAAATTTGATTACACACAACTTTCTTTTTTGCATAATCTCATAAATATATTTTTGTACGAACCAACTTTTTTATCCTTGTTGTTGTTTTTTCTCTTCTTTTGCAGATATTTTGTTTTGACACGTGACTATCTGCATTGTTTTAAAAGAGCATCAGGTTCAGCCAATGAACGTGCCTCTGACATGGGACAATTTATATTTAAGGTAAGTTTGAATTTATTTTCCTGCACACACACACATTCCATTCAATTTTCAAGAGAAAATTCTTAAAAGAACGTTGACTTGAGGAAGTTCTTAGAACGAAAAAAAGATGAGGAAGAAATAGCAGAAAAAAATGTTAAGTGAAAAGAAAAAAAAAATAAACCGAAGAAAGCTAGAAAGACCTTAAAAGATGATTATCAGGTCCACATAACGTGATTAATCTTTAAAAAAGAATTTCGAAAAAAGAAAAAAAAAACATTACAGTATGCCATGTAAATCTCTGGGGGTGATGTAGTGCAGTGGAAGTAAAACAAAAATAAAATCACGAATGCTGTAGAAAAAAATTTACGGCAAGAAAAAAATTTCTTCCCACCAAGTAACTCGGTTTGGTTTTGTTGAAAATCACTGAAATCAGCAATGCATTGAAAATGATTTACGATTGTGTAACTTCTACAGTTGTTGTTGGCTGCTGCGTGTTTTTATGGCAACATTTACTTCATCATCAACATCATTGACGACCATTCTCATCGCCATATAGCAGTAGTTGTGCTCCATAATCTGGGAAATAACAACGCCGTCATTAAATTACAATTCATTCACCTTTTGACTCTTTCTTAAGCAGATTTATTTTTCTTCATCGCCCCACAACAGTACTGCTGATCTGTATTTTTTTCGTAGAGGTTGGCTGTTTTTATGGCAGATTAAAATCGTGTTTTTTTCTTTTCGGGGTATTAAAGTCAGTAAGTCAGTTACAGGTTTAATCTGAGGCGTTACAACTGCAGTGGAAAAACTGTTTTGTTATTTGAGGCTTTTTTTGTTTTGGCGAATTTGGTGGAAATATACTTCAGAGGAATACTTCAGAGACGGATTTCATTTGAAATGATTTGATTTTTTGGCACTTCACATTTGCGTGTTATGACCGACCCACCGGCATTGCAATGAAATCAACACCTTGTATTTATTAAGTAAAAATTCATGTCGACTTTATTAACTTACCAAATCTTTTTTGGCGAACAATTTCGATTTTCTCTCATTTTAATGGTTATTTCGTAGATTACTAGGAAATTGAAAGGAATTTACAATTGAGCAACACATGTGAATTAAGTCATTGGTATTTAATTTAAGTAATAAAAACAAAATATTCAAATAACAGTGCATATTTTTAGGAGTTACCTCACAACTTATAAGAAACATTATAATTAAATATTTCAAACCAAACTTTTTTGAATTTAATTTAAATATCTAAAAACAAATAAAATAATTATATAACTTTTCAAATATTATTGCAAACATTTAGGAGTAAAAATAAAACAGTTCAAACATTTTTTTAATAAATTGAAGTACACTCTTAATAGTGGAATTAAAAATTATTGAAGCATTCCTTTAGGAGCAAAACTAAAATAATAATATACTTACTTAGATGGATCAATACTAGTGATATGTAAATCGATGTTCGACTAATCGGCTGTTTGTATTAAAAAGTCTAAATGTCGATTGTTGATCTATGAAAAAATCGTAAAGTCGGCTTTTCAAGATCGACTTTTGATTTTCTTCACAAATACTTGGTTTATTATCACAAAGGACAAACTTACACATTCCGGAACTTTATTTTATTTGCTGACAACAAAAAAAAAAATTAATTTTTAGTCGATTTTTCAACCAGAACTTTCCATCAAATTTGTGACCATCCGCTTCTTTGCGAACCAGCAGCTTGCTCTCTTTTAAATGCCTTTTGAGCTGGGGCGTCCTCATCCACATTCGCACAACATACAGCTCGATACGTCTGACTATGTCGGTTCTTTCGAGGGCAATGTTCAGCGTCGACGCAGATCGGCCGATCTTTCGGAGAATGTTTCTCTCAAACACTTCAAGAGTACCAATGCTTCAAATACATTTGTTCCATAAGCCGTACTTTAAAAAAAATCCAGGTGCGTTGGTCTTGTGCGCAGCTTTTCCAATTTGGAAGACCCTGCTTCAAAATGTTGTCATCTTTCCATCGAATTTGTGGCCAATCTCAGAGGTATATAAAATCGTCGACTACCCCAAAACTGTAGTTTTCTAGTTCCACATCTACTTGCGCAAGTACCCAGTACTCAGATCCACACATTAGAATGTGAGTTTGTCTTTAATTTCTGGGGTGTCGAATGCGGTTTTATAATCGACAAAAAGGGAATGTGTCGATGTGTTTTTCGTGGTTCCTTTCCGGGATTTGGCGTATTGTGAAAATCTGGTCTACAGTGGATCTGTCAGGCCTAAAGCCGCACTGAAAAGATCCAAAAATATCATAGACCATTGGCTTAAGTTGTTTACACAGCACGATGGATAGCACTTATCGGCACCTGTTGCTTTATATTCTTCAGTCGATTAATTGATGATTCTGATCTCATCTTGGCTAGGTGATATACAATCTATATCGTTATCTCTTATTGGTTCTACTTATCTTCTACACCGCTACTATTTAATACCAAAAGCTTTGCTATATGTTCCTTCCACATCCTCAACACGCTATCTGTATTCGTCACCCGGGTTTCTTCTTCATCTCTACGGGAGGATGACGCTGCACCAAAGCTTTCCAAATTCTCCTTGATTTATGTACAAAAAATAAACTCAATATCCATTTTATACATTAATTTATTTATTCTTTTCTTTCGACTATTCATTATTTATTTATTTGCAATAAATATTTGTAATGCATTCAAATGGCTGCACACACAATTAACATCCGGCTAAGAAATCAAATTTACCCCCCGCACCCCGCACTTAAACAATATCGAAAACTTACTGAAAATATAAACACATATAAATTGGCATTTGGCCAATACAAACAATTTTTAATATGAATGAAACGTTTAATGCCAGCCAGCGGGCATTGAAATCCGAAAAACCAACACCCTCCAATTTTTTTTTTATTTTTGGCAAAATATATTTTTTTCAACCCGTTGCACAAATAAATCTTAAAATACTGTGAAATAAGAAGGCAAAAAATTAAATTCAAGAAAAAAATTATTTAAAATGCAAAAAGATGTGAATACAAGAAACAAACTTATAAATCAAAGAATAATGCGTTCAATATCTCGACATAACATCGAATACAATTTAGCGTGTGAATGATCGAAACAAATTTGTTGAAATTTGAACATTTTGAATGATATAAATATATATTTTTTAATTTGAATAGGTAAACGAATATATATCAACAAATTATGCAAATTTGATTTTTCAAGACCACAGTGTGATTGATGTTGATTTGAAAATTAAAAAAAAGTGTAGATTGTTTTCGGGTTATCTAGCAAATTAATAAAAATTATATTATCATAAATATTTCTTGATATAAAAATGGAAGAAATATATAAAGAATGGTTTTCTGAAAGAAATTGCATTATTTATTTTTTCCCTATTACAAAAAATATATAAGAAATTAACCGAATTTTTAAAGGTTTAAAGGCTGCAATCTATCGTTGCGCCCAAAAACAATGTCTCCTTAAATTGTGCGCAGTGGTTGGGGGCCTGCTTACTTTAGAGTTGCCATTTTCCTCTGGGTGGGGCTCCCTCTTGACATTCCTACTCTGGAATTGGAATGTGTAACTGTGTATTTTAAAAACATCCACACTTATTGTAGACCATGAGTTATTTTAAAAATCCACACCTATTGTAGGCCATGAAAAAAAATTATTTTAAAAACCCATGCCTTTTGTGGGGCTTGGAAAAAAATATTTAAAAATCCATGGCTTGTTAATATTTTTTCATTGCAGCAACGTTTATAATTGATCTGCTGTAGCCAGACCAACAATAGATGGGATGCCATTTATAGTTGCCTATAACAAAACAAAGCCTCATTGAATTTTGTGAAGAGGTTGTAGCCCAGACTTACTTTAGAGTTGCCTCAGGGTGGCGCCATACCTTTTTTGTGCTGCCCTCGTATGTTGATAATTAGAACGCCAAGAAGCTTCGGATGTATTTTAGTGGAGAGAGATGCAGGAGGTGGCGCTATCTCCTGTCAATCCTATTTGTATTATCTTCATGTGTGGAAGTTGATGCAGAGGATGGTTATTAGATACATTTCAATAGAGAGAGATGTTAATAATTTGTTCCGATATTCGAACACGACCTTTAAATAATGTTTCCACCTCCGGTAGGATTTGAACTTTTGAAGGACTTAATAATTATTATAGTCCGGTATTTATTTATTATTATTTTATGTATATACTTCAATTAGATACAATGCAACGCCTTCTTGTACAGTGGTTAGAGTTCTCGTTTATTGAAGTAATGACATTTTCCTCCTTCTACTGTAATAAATACAAAATTAAATGGCGTTTAAAGTCCTTCCTTGGGTTTTATTGAGTGGCATTTTAAGGTTTCCATTAGCGATTTCTTTTTTTTGAAAAGTATTGCAAAATATTTAAATAAATACGTTTTTAAAACCTACACAAAATGTCAGCATGACATTATCAATTTTTTCTCCTAATAATAAAAATGAAGACCTTTACCGAGACCCCAAGTAAAGCGCACAACAAAAAACAGTTAATTATTAACATTCACAATTAACCTTTTTCACACTTTAAAAAAGTAATGAAAAAACAAACAACCCACAATGATTTTTATGGATCAGTCATCCCCACACTCATGGAGCACCTCAAAATAAAATAATAATGAAAATTATGTCCACACATTTTGAACATTTAAAAAAAACTAAACATCGTTAACATTTAACAAACAATAAATTTATTTGTTAACAGCGAGGAAACACAACAACAATAAAAAACCTACAAGTTCAAATACAATGTTCCAAAGCAATGAGCATAAAAATACTGAAAATCATATGCCACAATGACAAATCATTAAAACACCCAACAACAATATTACAAAACAACAACAACGAAAAAACGTTACACACGAATTTTTGCTTCGAACTGACCTCAGCAAAGAAGCATTTGCAACGAAAAAAATATTGGGGGTATTATGTTCCGAAATGAAGATGCTCAAATCAAATATTGCCATTG